AAGGTCCCAGGTTCGATTCCTGTCAAGGCCATGTAGCTTGGTTGCGGGCACATCCCCAGTAGGAGGTGTGCAGGAGGCAGCTGATCAATGTTTCTAACTTTTTATCTCTCTCCCTTCCTCTCTGTAAAAAATCAATAAAATATATTAAAAATCCCCCCCCCCCACACCCACTACTGTCTCCTCATAAATTAAACTAAACATAGCCCTTAGGTTGGTGAGTTTTTAATAAGTCCCTCCTTTGCAAACAAAGTTCACAGAGTAAAAGTAAAAAAAGACATTTAGAATGCGCGAGAAACACAGTTTGATCAGAATCAGGAGGCCAAAACTAAAGTGTAAATTTTAGGGAATGTAGCCGCAAGTTCTTCCGAAGCCATAGCTATTGTAGCTGTCATTAGAGAGGTTCCAGCTGTCCTCACAGCAATTAGACCAAGTGCAAACTAAACCCACTTGTCAGCCTCACGTTTCTTTGCCTACCAAGGGAACTGATAAATATCCCAAGGGTAAACTAAAATAGGTTAGCTCTCATTCAGTTAGCCAGTTTTGAAATCAGAGCTTGAGCTCTAACTGCCCCCTTGTGTTTGTCTGGTTTTAGAAAGGTATAGATTTCCCTACTGGGAGGTTTTCTAACTACCCTCCACATGCCCATCCCCCACGCCCCAAATCCTCACAATGAAAACCCAACCATTTTCAGATCAGTTCCTTGAGCAGTCTTGCTTATACTAACCAAAATGTTTCATTTCAAATGATGTTCTTTTCTCCCCAATAATAATAATCAGATTATTAATTGAAATATAGAATTGGAATAATGGTCGTTCTGCCCTTTTCCTGCTTAAATATATTTTAGACTGGGGAAAGAAATCAGTATAAGAAACTGTTATGCCCTTTAAAATTTCAGTCTAAGTTGAAGATATAAGGTGCATATGTGGGCATATTTCAGTAAGAAGCATTTATCTTTTTAACCCTTTTGTGACTTTAGCCTGAGTTCCTCCAATCTGGGATTTTGATCACCTCCTGACACATTGAGTGCTATTTTCCAGGCCACGGCACAATCTTTGGACATAAGTATTGTTGGAAGGTGTCAGATTCTGCTCCAGGAAGCCCCCCTGGGCAGTGTGTGTCCCTAGGGTCAAGAGATGGAAAGTTCTGAAATCTTTCAGATGAAAAAGGAGAGAGAGAGAGAGAGAGAGAGAGAGAGAGAGAGAGAGATCAAAAAAGCACTCATCCAAACAAATAATATTTAGCTCATTAAATTAATACTGTTTATTCTCTATATTTTATATTTTTGGGGAGCTATTAACTTCCCTTACAGTTGATGAATACATTTCAAAATGTAGTACAAAATGAACATTTAGGAACATAGAAAGTCTGTGGCCAGTATTTTCAACATACAAGAAAATCCCCATCTAACTGTTCACCAATTTTCAATTTGCTTTGGCATTATTATTTTTTTATTATGCTTCTTTATTATTGCATACAGAATTCAAATTGCAGTGACAAGGAAAAGTCTATTATTTCCTTTTCACCAATAAGACAAGTAGGAAGATGCTAAGTGAAATAGAACATCGATCTCACAATACGGTTCTTTATATATTATATTTCAGATTCTAGTTATGTGCTTTGATTGAAAAATGTCAAGTGGAAATAAAGTGGCCCTTATTTAGGCCTTGTGACTCTGGGTATGTTCTGGCCAGAACCAGGCAAACAGACTGACCCCTAATGCTTCCCAAGTAGCTCCAGTGTTTTCTTTTCTTTTAAAGTCTAACTCTGTTTCACTTTCAAGCAGTGACAAATAAGATCAGCATTTGAAGTACGGTAGTATGTCTAAAGGGCAGAGTTTAGTATTTTGTTTCATGGTAAAAGAATTTATTTTTAAGGAAATCAATAGACTACATTTTTTTAACTTTAATTAGCCTGCCTTGATTGAAGTGATAGAATGAACCTTAGGGCTTGGTATTGGGGGTGGAGGAGTAAATAAATGTTTTAGTTCTTTTTTTATCAACATAGAAGGTAACACATACTGTTATTTACTTAAATATACGTTGCATTATGATTATTGATAAAATATCAAAATATTAAATTCTCCTCTAAAGGATATATTATTGATGATGATGATCTTTCTTTTGGATAAATATACCAGTGTTAAAAGTTTCTATACTTAAATTAGAAAGAAAATATTATTTTATAGCCAACATTCTCAATATCACAAGAGGTAAAATAAATTGACAAACTTGTAATTTATTAAAAGTCTTAGCTTAAATCTTCAGTTTTTACTTTCTTAAGCCTTTTAACACTTCCTTAATATACTCTGGGCAAAATATCCTTTCAAATGAATTCTTAAATTTGTTTAGCATATGATAAACATACCAAAATGTCTCCTCAAATCAACTTAAAGCTAAAACTTTTAACTTAAAGTTTAAACTTGAATGATTTGTGACCTAAGATTTTGCTTCCTAAAATAAAAATGTTGTTTCCTAAAATAAAAGAAGGATGCAATGAATTTACGATGCAGGCAAGACATTCAGTTAGAAACTGGATGGCAGGTCTGGGACTCAACAGTCAGATTGGAACTAAAGATACATTTGGTTAAATTTTGAATGTTACAGTGTCATTACAGAATTTCACTTTTTCTTATGTTCTCTATTGGCTCATAAAACCAATAGAGGAGATTGCCTCATAGGCACTTTAAAAATACTTACAGGTGAATGGTCAAAGTTTTAAACCAAGCATCTTCTTTTAAATTTATCTTTATTGTTGAAAGTATTACAGATGTCCCCATTGTTTGTTCGTTTGTTTGTTTGTGAGTTTGTTTCCCCACTGACCCCCTCCATCTGGTACCCATCCCTGCCAGCCCTTTACTACTCCATTGCCTATGTCCATGGGTTATGCATATATGCATATCAGTTCCCAGCACCCTTACCCCCAAGCATCCTATATAATAAAAACCTAATATGCTAAGTGTCTGGTTGTCCAGTTGTCCATTCAACCAAAGGGTAATATGCTAATGATATGCTAAGGTCGCTCAACCACTCACTATGACATGCACTGACCACCAGGGGGCAGACGCTCCAACAGGTAGGTTAACTTGCTGCTAGGGTCCAGCCAATTGGGACTGAGTGAGATGGGCCAGACACGCCCTGGTGCCCTCCCACAATCCCTCCCTAGCTGGCCAACCTCCGCATTCCTCCCTGGCCCCAATAGTGCACCAGTGGGGTTCCTTGACCTGGCCTGCACCCTCTCGCAATCTGGGTCCTCTCAGGGGATGTCCGAGAGCCAGTTTTGGCCCGATCCCACAGGCCAGGTCAAGGGACTCCACTGGTGCATGAATTTGTGCACCAGTACTCTAGTCTTTAATAGTTTTCAACACAATTTTATTCTCTGATAGCTTCAAAACCATAGCTTGACTATAAACACCAAGCTCACTGATTTCACAGTAGTGCTAAAGGACTAATTGACCAAGAGCTGGGTTCCATCCTTGAGTCTGACATCCACTAACTATGTGACTTGCAGTAATTCTCTTTGTTTTGCAACTATAATCTCCCTAACTACAAACCAAGAAACTCAGACTTCATTAACAAATTCCCCTTTGATTCCCCTGTGGTTTTGGTGTTTGATGCCATAAAACCAAATTTATGGTTAGGCTGACATTATGCTTCCTGATGTTCTTTAGTCAGAGGCAGTAGTTCTCACCCTTGCCAAAAAAAAACCTAACCCTGTTAATAAAAAATGTGTAACTACTACTAGGTCAGAGCTCATGCCTATGGATCAAGTGCTGCTTTTTAAAAAATATATGGAAAACATTTGCATTCTTGATATGGACAGCTTACATCAACAACATTAAGAAAATATTTTTAACCAAACAAAAATTAAAAACCTAGCAATATAAAATAAAATTAAATTCTCTATAAGGATAAGTGCATTTTCAAGATGAATCTATTATTAGGTGATACACATAGCATCACAGACAACTAGATTTTACAAAGTTATGTTTAGATGGGCATGTATTATGGGGAAGAAGAGAAAACATTGAATTAGGAGCCAGTTATTTTGAGGCTGACTTCCCACAAGTCCCTGTCTGTGTCTCTAAAATTATCATTGGAAAACAGTAGAAAAGATGAAAATATTGCCTCAACCACTCTAATGAATTATTGAAAAGATAAAATGTGTACACACACACACACACACACACACTGAATTGCCAGATTATTATGACCGCCTGACGTTTGTAGTCAAATTAGCCATACACTGTATCGTATGGGATATGGAAGCTGAAGGCCTGTTCGAACACCTTTGCTGTCTGCAGTTACCGAAATAAAACATCTCCAATTCACACAGGAACACAAGGATTGGATAGTTGAGCATTAGAAAAAAGTCATGTGGTCCAATGAATCACGTTTCCAGTTGCATCATGCAGATGGCAGAGTGAGAATTTGGCAGAAACAGCATGAAAGCATGCACCCCACATGCATGAGTACAACCCTTCAAGCTGGTGGGGGCAGTGTTATGGTTTGGGACA